GGGTTCATATTTGTTGTCTGTACTGCCCAAGTAACTCTCTATGTCTTTCTCATCCTCAATGCTGCCATATTGGTCACTCACATTTGGTACATTGCCCTTCTCTTCACCCAACCCACTTCTGTTTTAGACCAATAAAACCTTGACAAGAGTGAACCTTGGATCATTTGCTGATCATCTGGTCGCAGTAGCAGAGGGTTTGGTGAGTTCCAATACATGTTACTGTCAAGTCAATTCTGACCCATAGCAACCCTGTAAGACAGAGTAGAACTGCCGCATAGGGTTTCTGAGGCTGTAATCTTAACAGAAGCAGAGTGCCTCAGTGTTCTCCTTTGAAGAGGCTGGTGGGTTGGAACCACTAACCTTTTGATTCACAGCCGAGTGTTTAACTCCTGTGCTCCACAGAGGTCAGTTAAATGGTACAGTAGTCGTGGCTGTCAAACACCAGTAGTTCTTAAGGGGGCTCCTGAGGAGAATTCTTCTGCCATAAGCCATTCTTTGTTCAAGCTGCCTGTGGTCAGCAGCCACGGCAGCATGGCCCACCCTGCTGTGGGCAGTGACGGTTCCCAGGGCAGTTGCAGAGTGCACTCAAACACCCCTGGTCCTGCTGTGCTCAGTGCTGGGGCCCTTGCCACCTTAGCACCGGGTCTACATTCATTCCCATCAGCCCGTCCACACCCTCCTCCCAACACGCGCCCATGTGCGCCTACCACACGCACATATCAACGTTCGTATATACGTCATTTTCCTTGCCGTGTAGGGGAATGGTCACTGAGGGTACGGAGGAGGAAGATTTCATCTGATGCTTTGAATCACCAATAGTTAATGGATAAGGGGGAGGAGACCCCATGTTTCTCCTTCCTCAACTCCTGTGCTGGTTGGGGTATTAACGGTCCCTTTCAAGCAGCAGCACACTCATGAGGTGATTAAATCCTGATGCAGAAGCTTCCTAGCTGTGGGACCTTGGGCAAGAGTTTCCCACCCTCTGTGCCTTCCCTTAGGAGCTCTGGTGGCATACTGCCTAAGGCATGTGACTGCTAACCAGAAGGCTGGCGGTTCAGACCCACCAGCCACTCCTTGGAAGGAAGGTTGGGCAATCTACATCCTTAGTGATACCACCTCGGAAACCCAAGGAGGGGTTGCTAGGAGTTGGATCCGACTTGATGGCAGTGAGTTTGATTTTTTTGGCTTGGTGCCTTCCTCTTCTCATCTTTCAAATGGGCACAGAGTCGTATCTGCCTCCTAGGACTACTGCGTGTTATCATTTGTAGAGCAGGACCTGGCAGAGAGCACATGCTATTCAAGTAGGAGTTCAATTAATAAAGCACTTCTCAGCTGAGCCGTGGTGTTCTCATCTCTGAAATGGGGAAGGTGGATGAGAGACAGCACAGCTGTGAGCTCAGGAAGGGCTAATGAGTAGGAGTGTCTGCTCAGAGTCTGGTTCCGTGATTTGAGGCAGGGTCTCTTGGCCCTGTCCCTTCAGGCTGGCTCCAGCATCCGGGACCATCACTTAGAGGAAGGCTACCTGCCGTGATGGGACTGGCTGGAGCTCCTATAGTTAGTGAGGGTGCCTCGCATCAGAAGCGGGTGTTGATCTCTGTGTATTTTCTTCTCCCTGTAGCCCGAGGGAATCTTGAAGATGTCTCTGTACCTTTATTCCCAAAATGTGGAAGCACTGTACCATCGTGAAGTTATTCCCTTGGAACAATCAATGGTAACAATAAGCGAGCTCCGGCATTTTGCTCTCCTCTCACGCAACATCCATTTCAAAGAGTTGCCCTTCTGTTCACCCAGTGATGTGCTTTCATCTCATGTGGGTCACGTCCTCAGCCTGAGAAATGGAGCCACTTGAAGAAACACTCAGGCAGCTGGGCCTTAGCGTTCTCAAACGTTAGGAGGCTACAGCATAAGTATCACCAGCCCCCTCTGCTTGTTTCCTGTCTTTCTGCTATTGGAGGGTGGGCACCGAGAATGAAACCTGCAGCTGCCTCCTCCTCCTGGGTGAAGTGTCCATGCTGTTACAAGGCCCTCCGAAGCCACGCAGTTAGCAAAAGGACTCATATTTCTCTCTGGCCCTCACGCTTACTTATTCTCAAATTCTTTTTCTACAAACACTCTCAAGAAATACGTGCAAGCCAGGGTAAGCGCCCTTCTGCACACTTCACTTGGATTCCATGCTGTCTCCTGACAGCCACCTCAGGGTTCTCTGGAGAAACAGAACCAGTGAGATACAGACCCCCACGCAAACAGACACACACACCCACTGCTGCTGCTGTAAGTTGCTGATTCATAACGACCCTGTGTATGCCAAACAGAACGCTCTCATGGGATTTTTAAGGCCATAGCCCTTCCGAAGCAGATCATTAGGCCTATCTTCTGATGACACTCTGGGAGGATTCGAAAGCAGCCTTTCAGCTAGTAATTGAGCACTTAACTGCTTGTTCCACCCAGGGACACATGTGTCTGTCTGTCTACCTATACACACACACGTTGCTATACGTAGATTTATTTTAAGAAGTTGACTGATGCAATTGTAGAGGACTGGCAGCTCTGAAATCTGTATTTCGGGTGACAGGTTTGACATTCCTGCTGGTTTGTGTCCCTAACTCCCTAAATCAGTTGATGGGAAGAGTTCAGAGTAAGAGAGACCTGGAAAGAGATCTATAGACTCTGGAGGCAGAATACATCCTAAGGAAAGCTCCCTTTTGACTTTTAAGGCATTCAGCTGATTAGCTGAGGTTCCCACACGTTGTGGAAAAGTAATGCAAAGGCCAGTTGATAAAATCACACCTAACTCCTTTCTAACAGCAGCAAGACTGATGTTTGACCAAACACCTGGACACCACAGCCCAGCCAACTCGACACATAAACTTGACCGTCACAGTGGCTGTGGCTTGCTTTCTCACTTCCCACCCTGTTTTCTGACTTTCCTTTTCCTCCTCTCCTCACTGCCGTCTTGCTTCTCTCCTTAATGAAATAACAAAGGCAGTCTGGAGCAGGGGCGGAGGAGCTTTGCAGTCACACAGACCTGGTTTCAAATCCTGCTTCTGCTTTTCCAAAGTATCGTAGCCTCTGAACTCACCCCCACGTGATGGACAGTGCTCTGCCGTTACTGGCTTCACTGAGATGAAGCATCAAAGGGGCTCACACGTGGGCCGTGTATCCTGTGCAGAAAGTGGGTCACTAAGTCTGCTTGCTCAGGTTGGGAGAAGCATACACGTCGACTGCTTTAGAACCTTCTAGAACTAGTTCTACTCTTGTTTTTTTCCCTCTCCTGACTTCGTAGTTGATTAGAATACTCACAAATTCCTGCTGTTGAATTTTCTTGATTTTTACACTGTGTTTAATCACAGTTCCACACTGTACTTGTTCCTGACGTACATGTTACATTGTAAGTCTGGTCCTCATTTCTAAATGCTTATTTTTAAGTGCACAGGACACATTGGCCTTTTCAGAGATAGGGGAACACTGTCTACATGTAGGCAAGTTGTTGTTTATGTGTGATCTTAATCTCAACCAGGGTTGGGCAAACTGTGGCCCTGCAAACTACAGCTGTGGGCCAAACCTGGCCTGCTGCCTTGTTTTGTCAATAACGTTTTCCTCGAACTTAGCCAAGTCCATTAGTTCACATATAGTCTGTGGCTGCCTTTGGCTTCAGGGGAGCAGTTGGGGCAGGGAATGGCCTGCAAAGTCTAAAACACTTACAATCTGGCCCTTTACAAATAAAGTTTGCCAACCTCTGATCTAAGCCATGTAGGAAAACTGCTCTAGTTAGGCAGGCTTCCTGTTGAACACCTTCCACTTTTATTAAGTCTACCTCACAGGGGTTTCTTGGACACCTTGTGGGTGATGTGCTACCCTTCATGTTGTTGTTGTTGTTGTTGTTTGCCGTCAAGTCGGCCCCGACTCATAGCGACCCCTCCTTGGGTTTCCGAGGCAGTATCACTACGGAAGTAGGATTGCCCAACCTTCCTTCCGAGGAGTGGCTGGTGGGTTTGAACCGCCAGCTGTCTGGTTAGCAGGCAAGTGTCTTAGCCACTATGCTACCAGAGCTCCCGCTACCCTTCATAGCATTGGAATAAGTATCTTGATTTCTTTGGGGACACTGTTACTTGTGTTCATTGCTTTTTCTAGAATAAAACCATTCAGTGTAAAGTCGAGTTTGGTGACTGGTTTGGGGGGGGGGGCACAAGGATCTTACTGCTTCATGTAATAATTTGGAAAATATCATCTCTGTTTGTTCACCAGCATACTTTACAGCAAAGCATCAAGATACTTAGACACAACACCAGAGGACTGATGGTAAGGACTTTTTTTGTTCTTCTTTCAAGGGATTTTGTTATCCAGCACCACTCTTAGCATCTCAGAGATGCTGCTGCGTGTTAGAACTTGAAGACGACTCCATTATCCATCCACATCAAATATCAAGCGGATTTTCTTCCTGTCTCCTTCCTTCACTTATATCAGTGGAGCCTTCCCTTTAGCATGGTGTTACTTGCACATTGCTGATGGTGCTGCCCAGTCAGTTCGGACTCGTAGCAACTCTGTAGGGTAAAGTAGGGCTGCCCCGTAGGGCTGCTGCCAAAGGCCTCTTTGATGTGTTAGAAAGCAAAGGCATCACTTTGAGGTCAAAGGTGTGCCTGACTCAAGCTATGGGATTTTTTATTGCCCCATATGCATGGAAAGCTTGACAAGGAATAAGGAAGACCTTTCAGATAGTAGCCGAGGGCTTAACCGTTAACACCTCTAAAGTTTCTTGTTAGATCCGTAAACCAAAAACCAAATCCACCGCCATCGAGTTGATTTCCAACTCATAGTGACCCTGTGGGACAAAGTAGAACTCCACAGAGTTTCCAAGACTGTAAATGTTTACAGAAGCAAACTGCCTCATCGTTCTCCTGTGGGGCAGCTGGTGGGTTCAAACTGCCAAGCTTTTGGTTTGTTGTTGTTAGGTGCCATTGATTTGGCTCCAATTTACAGTGACACTGTGTACAACAGAACAAAATGCTGCCCGGTCCCGTGCCATCCTCACGGTCCCTGCTGTGCCTAAGCCTGTCATTGCAGCCACTGGGTCAGTCCATCTCGTGGAAGGTCTTCCCCTCTTCACTGACCCTCTACTCTACCACGCATGATACTCTTCTTCAAAGACTGGTCCCTTCTGACAACATGACAAAGGAGGTGAAACAAACTCTGGCCATTCTCACTTTTGAGGAGCAGGCCAGCTCTACTTCTTCCAGGATGGATTTGTTCGTTCTTCTGGCAGTCCATGGTATTTTTGGTATTCTTTGCTAACACCGTAATTCAAAGGCATCAACTCTTCTTCAGTCTTCCTTATTCACTGTCCAGCTTTCACACGCATATGAGGCAATTGAAAGTACCATGGCTTGGGTCAGCCATACCGTAGTCTTCAAAGTGACATCTTTGCTCTTCAGCACTTTAAAGAGGTCTTTTGCAGCAGATTTGCCCAGTATAATATGATATCTGATTCCCTGACTGCTGCTTCCATGGGTGTTGACTGTGGACCCAAGGGAAACGAAATCCCTCACAACTTCAATCTTTTCTCTGTTTACAGTCATTATATAGCTTTTTGGCCCAGTTGTGAGGCTTTTCACTGTCTTTATGTTGAGGAACAACACCTGTGTGGGTCACCACATGTCCTCAGAGTGGAGCTCAGGATCCAGAAGGTGAACAGAAACACAGATGGCCCGTCAGAGAACTGGCACACTGCCACGTCTGCCTGTCTCCCATTAGCCAAAGCATGCCACAGGGCCAGGCGAATCATACTGGGCTGGGGAGAGGTGCAGCACCCACTGGTAAGCTGGTCCAGTGAGGGCGTCTGCAGTCATGAGCTGCTAAGACAGCCTACCACGGGGCTCCTGCAGTGCCAGTAATATTCCCACGGCAGAGACTGAGTCCCGAGGCCATGTTGTCGTCATCGGAACCCACAATGCCAGCAGGCAACTCAGCAAATCTCTTGATTATATGAAATGGGTTTTCCATGAGAGGTTTCAGGAGTCAGTCTTACAAGTTTTTTTTAAAAAAAGCCTTTGAGTCAGTTCCAACTCAAGGTGCACTGAGGGATGTCCAAGACCTGCGCGCCACAGGGTTTGTAGTAGCTGAGTTTTCAGAAGTTCATCACCAGGCTCTTCCTCCAAGGTGCCTGGACTTGAACCTCTAGCCTTTCCGTGAGCTACCCGAGCCACCCAGGGACTCCCCAACCCCACAATACAAAGCCAAACATTCTTCCCCACACTGTTCTCCTTGAGAACAAGACCATGACTCAGGTGCTCTGAAGACTCTTAGGCTTACTCTTCTCTGAGCCCTGTTTGCATAGTTGCCATTTTCACAAGTGTATGCCATGCAAAGGCTGGTGGCCGAGTGCAGATCCTCTGTGACTCCTACACACCTTGACACTCAGGGCTACACTGTGCATTTGGGCATCGCTCCCCACAGGGGCCCAGCTGAGGGTGAGGTAGGGGTGAAAATCAACCTTTAGTCTCCTAACCAAGCTGTGTGTCCTGAGGCTTCTGGACAGAAAAAAGAAGTGGTTGCCATGGAGTCACTGCTGGCTCCCGGTGACCTGTGTGTCAGAGCATGCTTCATGGGGCTCTCGGGCTCGTTTTGTTTGAAAGCACGTCACCAGACCTTTCTTCTGAGGCATAGGTGGCTTTGAACCATCAGCCTTTCCATCGGCAGCCAACCATAGTAACCGTTTTCACCACCCAGGGACTCCCTCTGGACGGAAGGGACAACTTTTCTAATTTACACAAAACTGCCACATGGATTGGCAGTGGCCTTGTCCTTGTGGAGTGTGGCCTCAGGGACGACACAGTGCTGTGTGCACACTGCAGCTCTTCACCTTGAGCAGGGTTACCTCCTTGGGGTTGTTCGCTGCTGTCAGGTCTATTACGAGTCACGGCAACCCCCCGTGTGCAGAGCAGAACTTCTCTGTGGGATTTTCAAGGCTGCAGCCTTGCGGAGGCAGGTTGCCAGGCCTGTCTCCCAAGGTGCCTCTGGGTGGGTTGGGACCGTCGGTCTTTCATCTGGTTAGTCGAGCACTTAACCGTTTGTGCCAGCAAAACCGTTTCCCCTCATCTGGGAAGCAGGGCACAAGAAGCCTTCCCTACAGTCTTGTGAGTATTCACCGGGTGATTTGTAGAAAGGACCTAGCCAGGGGTTCGGCCCAAAATCAAAGCCCCACCTGCGCCCATCTCCACCCCTCTGCACACCCAGGGCTGGCCAGTTCTGTTCTCCCCCCAAGTACAGATGCTCGTATGGGCTGAGTTCACAGGGCTCACCACTGCATGCAAACTGCCTGAGTAAATCATTTGATCCCTCTGGTACTGCCACTGTTTGCTCTGTCTTCCAGATGAAAGTGAATGACATCTTTCTCGCACTGAATTCTGCCCAGTCCTTCATCAGACAGGGTGTTCCTGATATAATCAAGACCGTGAGTTTACTTTTTGAAAAATAAGTGTGTCAGGAAGTGAGTATGTGAACTGAGGAGTGTGACTGAACAAGGGGGACAGGAATCGTTTTAATGATTCACTAATGTCTGGTTTCTTTCCAGGAAAGTGCGAAGTATGCGAGTGTCATAATAGGACACTTTAAACATTACATCCAGTGGGTCAAACACTCTGTAAGTAGTCCCTTTTATGAGGAGAAGGGAGGCTGTGTCTTAGGACAGTAACCTTCTAGGATAAAATCAGGAGGAAATAAAAATAAACTTTGCCCTCCTTTGATAGGAGGCAAGTAAAAGGACATTGGGGTGTGAAGGCTGAGAGGGGAGGTGCTGTAAGAGTTAGCACAGGTGTTGTATTCCCAGTGCCCTCCCTTCACTCCCCTTTGTCATATGGGTTCTTGCCACAGTTGCCTGTCCCCAGCTTTCCCCCACCAGCTTTCCGATGAACCATGAGCTCCTGAGAAGCGTGAAGTTTCCAGTGGTTTTATGGCAACAAGTTGGTGGGGAGAGTTGTTGCTGTGTGCTGTCGATTTTGACTTACAGCGACCCTATAGGACAGAACAGAACTGCCCCATGGGGTTTCCAAGGCTGTGATGTTTACGGGATTGGATCGCCAGGTCTTTCTTCCTGTGGAATGACTGGTAGGATTTTACTGCCAACCTTCTGGATAGCGGTCAAGCTCTTCACCACCGTGCCACCACGCTGGTTGCCACCTTGGGCCCTGGGCTGACTCCTCGTTGAGGATTATTCCCTTGTGGGTTGGCTTGCTGCTGATTACCGGGTTGGTGCTACTAGACAAGGTGGGCTTTGAGAAGTCTGGCAACTCAGGAGAATTTAGGCCACCCCTGCACAGCTCTGGTAGCGTAGTGGCTAAGGCACTTGACTGCTAACCAGAAGGCTGGTGGTTCAAACCCACCAGCCACTCCTCGGAAGGAAGATGGGGCTATCTACTTCCGTAGTGATACCTACCGCCTTGGAAACCCAAGGAGGGTCGCTATGAGTCACTATGAGTCTGACTTGATGGCACATAACAACAACAACAACAGTACAGCCCAAGCTTCACATTGTGTTCCTGGGCCTTGACCATGTGCAGCCAGATGGCCTTGTCATCCCACATCATATTCCAGCCTCACACTGTACTTTGACCCTTCTTGGAGCGACTTCCTCTGTATGTCTTCTCCCCACTGCCCTCTGCCAATTCTCACCACCTCGGCCAGGTGCCTGGTTATCCTGAAAGGCACAGGGCAGAGAAGCCCTCTTTCTGATATCTGTGTGGTCATCCCCCACGTGGGATCCTCGGGGTCTTCTGTGTGAGTAAAAAGGGTACACATGTGGGTGAGCTGTGGCTGAAGGAGCACATCAACACTGTCCCGTCACCATGCATCTCCTGCATGGGACTGAGGACCACAGTTTGGTCATGTTTCTGTACCTGGAATACAAAGCAAATACCTGAGAACCACAGTGAAGCGGGGCCAGAATGGTTCCATCACAGAGCAGCCATGGCCTGAGGATGCAGTGGTTAAAGCATTTGGCTGCTAACCAGAAGGTTGGCAGTTCAAACTCACCAGCTGCTCCATGGGAGAAAGTTGAGACAATCTGCTTTTGTAGAGATTTACAGCCTCGGAAGCCCCGTGGGACAGTTGTACTCTGTCCTGTAGGATCACTGTGAGTTGGAATCAATGATGGCAGTGGGTTTGGGTTTTATGGTGTGGGATGAATTGGGCTCCTGCAGGGGACTTGGGACATTTCCACAGGGTCAATGCAAGGTGCAGGAAAATGTGCAGAATGTGACCTCTCCCTACTTTTTATAAAACCAACAGTGCAAAAACTCATACAACCCTGAACTTGAAGAAACTTAAGATTATGAACATTGGTGACCTTGTAAGGTGTAGATAGAAGGAAAAGAGGAATATGGAGCAACCAAAAAGGGAAAGAAAAAGAAAAAAAGACACTCCCATATGCTCCCTCCCTCGAGAAAAGGAAGCATCTAACTTCGGGTACATGTTGTTGTTGTTGTTGTTATGTGCCATCGAGTCGGCCCCGACTCATAGCGACCCCTCCTTGGGTTTCCGAGGCAGTATCACTATGGAAGTAGGATTGCCCAACCTTCCTTCCGGGGAGTGGCTGGTGGGTTTGAACCGCCAGCCGTCTGGTTAGCAGGCAAGCTTCGGGTACATAGAAACATATTTTGAAGAAGTGACTACAGTCTCCTTAAATCATTTGTGGGCTTGGAGCATCTGTCCCAGTAATCCCTATCTCAGGATGGGCACATTGTCTTCTCTGAAAACGGGGCTGCCAGGAGTGACTTTAAAACACAAGGGGCTTTGGGAACAGCCACGCCCGCTTGTTTTGTACTGCAGATGAGGCGTTGGCACTACAGTGCAGAATGGCGTGGGTTCGCCATATATGTGGCAGGCTGCGAATCCTACAGCGTTTACAGAAAGGGTTCACCAGCCCCTGCTCTGGAAGGTACAATTTCTCTCCTCTATTCCCACCTCCTTTGTTATCTAACAATGTCGGGTAAGACATTCAGACGGAGGTGTGGTGGGGACACGTGCACTTCCAATTTTCTCCCGAATCCCGCAGGCTGAGATGGCTGTTCCAAGTAACAAATGAGGGACCTGAGGTGGAGAGAGTAAGGGTCTTGCTTGAAAGGTCACAGCTGTGCACACTGCAGAGCAACTCCTTAGCAATCACGTGTGCACGCTCCATGGCCTCCAAAACCCTCCTGGGGAAGGCGGCCAATCAGCAGCGTGTCTGACTCTGGAGGCGTTCTGTGGACATGTGTCAGTTACAGCGTGCCTGTGTTTCACTCCCACAGATCACTAAGAAAATGGCAGCCTGCAGCCCTGTGGCCACCGCCTTGGATTCTCTGGTCGATGCCTTTCTTTGCAGCTCTATTGTGGACCCTTTGGTAAGAGGTTCATCTTTCACAATAAGGAGGCACTCTGGAGGCGTAGTGCCTAAGACACCTGACTGCTAACCAGAAGGCTGGCAGTTCAAAGTCACCAGCCACTCCTCGGAAGGAAGGTTGGGCAATCTACTTCCACAGTGATATCGCCTCGGAAACCCAAGAAGGGGGTTGCTACAGTAAGGAGACACAATCAATCCATCTTTGATTCGATTTCCCCAGATTTCAGAACATGCTGTGAGTTTTCTGCTTGGGTCTATCATAAACTGAGATGCATGTGTGATGACACCTGTTGTTTTGTGTCATCGAGTCCATTCAGAGTCATGGGGAACCTACAGACCAGAGGGGAGCTGCCCCGTAGCGTTTTCCACACTGTAATCTTTACGGAAGCACATCACCAGGTCTTTTGTCCTGCAGAGCTCCTGAGTGTGTTTGAACCTCTGACCTTTCTGGTTAAGCATTCAGCTGAGCGCTTAACCACTGTGTTAACCACCAGGGTCCTTGTTATAATACCTAATAGACGCTAAGAGTCAAAGTCCTATCTGAATGTCTTTGTTCTTTGTGGAATTATATTTACAGAGATCAGGAAGTCCTTGTGAAGAAAACTCCTGTTTGCCTAGAATAATGAGAAAGGAAGAATCATTGAGGTACAGGTTGCCAATATTCAAAAGGACTTTTAGTCCATTTCTGTACACAGGACCAAAGATAGCCCAAGCCTAATTTGATTTTTGATTTAAAAGCCCTTTGAGGGTGTGACTCGGGATAAAACTGTTGCCAGCAAGTCAATTCCAACTCATGGTGACTGTTAAGAGGAGAACCATGCTCCACGGGGTTTTCTTGGCTGTCATCTTATAGAAGCATGTTGCCAGGCTTTTGTTCCGCAGCACCGCTAGGTGGGTTTGAACTACCACCCTGTAGGTCAGTAGCCGATCGCACATTGCTTGTGCCACCCAGGGTCCTTGAGAGTTGGGACAGCAGGCTCTGATTAATCAAGTTTATTACTCAGCCTCTTCACACTTCCTTGGTGAGCCTGTCTTCTCACTTCCCCTGCATAAAGCACCTCAGTGGCTTCCAGTACAAGGGTTGGGCTCAGGATCCTCCTTAATAGGATACGCTGGATCACATGGGATCAGGCCTTGGTCTCTTTGGGCCTCACTTTGTGTTATCTGCCCTCCTTTGCACCTGTATTCCAGCCACACTTGCTTTCTCTCATTCCTTCAACTGCATCTCAGGTCTTACACCGCAAGGCCTTTGCACATGCCATCTCCCTTGCCTGGCTGGTAACTGACACACCTTGTTTCTCTCTCACTCTTCCCTTCTCAACCTGCACCTCACCTGGCTAACTCCACTAGGTCTTATAATGGTCGAGACTGTAGACTCTGAATTTGAATTTTACTTTACCACCTTCTGAATTGTTGGACTTTGGACAAGTTATTGTACTTTTTGGAGCTTCATCAGCCTTGTGGGTTGTTAGTTCAAGGAGAGACTTACATGAAGCCCTTTGCAATGTTTTGCTAGTGTTATTAGCTGATACTCAGTTTTCAGATCTTAGCTCAAATACATCTTTTTTTAGGAAGCCTTTTCAGATCAGCCAAACTAGAATGGGCTCCCTGTTCTCATTCCCATAGCACCCTATGCTTTTTCTTAGAGAACTTCCTGCATTTGGAGTTGTGTGTTTGTGTGGTTCTGGGATTAAGTGGTCTCCATGCACTAGACTCTCAACTCCTTAAGTACAGGCCTGTCTCTTTACTGTCATGTCCCTGTACTCTGGCATATTGCCTCACACAGAGTATTGCTACTGAATGAATGAATGATCAGAGAGCTGTCAGTCCACTTATATCACTCTGTCCATCCATCTCCATGCTCCATGTCCATTTATCCATCTGTCTGCTGGATGGACATTCATGCTCCACTAGGAATGATCCCACCGCTCTTCCAGTCACACAAACCACAAACCTTGGTTCCTGGCTGTGTCCCTACTCTTCCAAATCCCAACCCATTTGTCCTGCTGCTTGTGACCCCTGCTGTTGGCTTGAGTTGAGGCACCCAACATGAAAATTGGCTTATTATGTCCAGGCTCCAGCACCTGCCCACATCCAATCACATATCCAGCTGCCAGGTGGTGCTTTCCAGGTAACTGGGGACACACGGGGCACACTGAGGCTGCTCAGGGTGATGAATGGGCAGGGGCTTTATCAGCAGGTGTTTAACACCGTAAGGACGAGCTCTGGGTATCTCCTGAACTGTCTGTTGAGGTGCCTTTGGGTGGACCTATTATGATGTTCTTTTCCCTTTTGGCTTTCTAACTCCAGGTCTTCACACATTTCATTTAATACTTTGTCTTCTTGAGCCACCCTTTGAAATCTTCCATTCAGCTTTTTTACTCCCTCTTTTACTTCGTCTCTTTTACTTCTATTCACTTTAGCTATTCACCATTCAAGAGCAAGTTTCAGAGTCTCTTCTGACACCCATTTTGGTCTTTTCTTTCTTTTTAATGACTTTTTGCTTTCTTCATGTATGATATCCTTGATTTCATCCTACAACTCATCTGGTCCTTGGTCATTGGGGTTCAATGCATCAAGTCTATTCTTCAGCAGTCCCTAAATTCAGGTTGAACCACTTGAATTTATACAGTCAAGGCCATACTTTGGCTCTTGTGGACTTGTTTTAATTTTCTTCAGCGTCAACTTGAACTGCATATGAGCAGTTAGATGGTCTGTCCTGCAGTCAGCCACAGGTCTTGCTCTGATCGATGATACGGAGTGTCTCCAGCATCTTTTGCCACAGTTATAGTCAATTTGATTCCTATGTATTCCTTCCAGTGAGGTCCACATGGGTAGTCATTGTTGATCTTGTTGAAAAAAGGTATTTCCAATGAATAGGTCATGGGTCTTGCAAAACTCTATCATGCAAAGATTTCATTTTATTTAGATCCACAACACCCATGGAAGCAGTAGTCAAGAAATCAAATGACATAGTGTATTGGAGAAATAGGCTGCAAAAGACCTCCTTAAAGGGTTATAAAACAAAGAAGGCACTTTGAGGACTAAGGTGCACCTGATGATGGTATTTTCAATAGCCTCATTTGCGTTTGAAAGCTGAACAATTAATAAGGCAGGCCGAAGAAAACTTGATGCGTTGGTGAGGAATACTGAGTACATAACATGGACTGCTAGAAGAACGGACAGATCTGTCTTGGAAGAAGCACAGCCAGAATACCCCTTAGAAGTGAATATGAGACTTTGTCTTGTGCACTTTGGACGTATTATCAGGAGGGCCCAGACCCTGGAGAGGCACATGCTTGGTGAAGTGGAGGGTCAGCAAAAAAGAGGAAGCCCCTCCATGAGATGGACTGACCAGGGGCTACAACAGTGGGCTCAAGCATACAGTGGCTGTGAGGCTGGAGCAGGACCACGCATAGTGGCCCCATCTGTGTACAACAGACTGAGACACTTTTCATTCTGTTGTACACAGATGGGGGCCCAGTGAGTCAGAACCTAACAGCAGCAGCATTATTAAGTTTGTTATGTTGATGTTTGAGACTTATTCCCAAAAGGACTAAGGCAGCTTCTAGTAAAAAGGCACAGTTGTCCTAAAGCCGTCAAGCCTCCCAAAATAAGGTTGAAAACATGCAGGTGTAGTCATAAAGGAGGGTGGAAGGAAAGGAGCACAGACTTCCTGGACATTCTGGCTTGAGAGGTGCCCCAGTCAGTGAGCACTCGCCTTACCCAGAAGCAGAACGGCAGCGGGCGAGTCATGAGGGCCTCGCAGGGGTCCTGACATCCATGCTGCCTTTGCCTGGTGCTGGGCTGGGGAGAGCGGCTCTGGGGAGCATTGTCCCCGTGCAGGGGCCACAGCTGGGAACTTCTGCAAGGACTCAACAGGGTGTCAATTTGCAGAGCAGACCAAGGGTAGGATACTAGGCAGAACGCACAGTCAGGCAGTGGGTGGTATCCACATGGTCGTGTTGGCTGTCAGTTCTGATTATTTGTTTTGCATCCGCATCAGTTCTGATTGGCTGATAAAGTTACATCATTGGGAATATCACTGGTGCAAAAATGAATGCTGTGGACGGGGGAAAAAAGGGGTGAGTGGCCCTCTGAATGGAGGAGCCACTCGGCTGCAGCTGACAGTGGCCTTGTGGGTACAAGAGCTCAGTGTTAGTTATGAAGGAAAGAGGTCCGCCCAGGTTTCTACAGGAAATCTGATTTAGGACTGTTAGCAATTCTTTAAAAACATTAACATTGCTCCTCAGCTGACAAATGGTTGCATTTTCTTTGGTCTGCCTTAAACATTAAACTAAACAACTGAAATCAATGAAACATTTATTGAAACCTAATCTGTATTGGGACCTATTGAAAAGGACGTCACTATGGAGACTGGGGTGCACCTGACCCAAGCATGGTATTTTCACTTGCTTCATGTGCATGTGAGAGCTGGACAGTGACTAAAAAATCGATGCATTGGAATTGTGGTGTCGGTGAAGAGTTCTGACTGTACCACGGGCTGCCAGAAGAATGAACAAATCTGTCTTGGAGGAAGTACAGTGGGAATGCTCCTTAGCAGTGAGAATGGCCATACTTTGTCTCTTGTTCTTTGGTCATGTTGTCAGAAGGGACACCAGTCCCTGGAAGCAGGTCAGTGAAAAAGAGGAAGACCCTCAATGAAATGGACTGACACAGTGGCTGCAGTGATGGGCTCAGCATGGCAACGGTTGTGAAGATGGTGCAGGACTGGATGGTGTTTCATGCTGTTGTCCACTGCGTCACTGAGTTGGAACCAACTTGACAGCACCTAACAACAGTATGTGTTAAAGGAGCCCTGGTGGCATAATGGTTAAGTGCTCAGCTGCTAACTGAAAGGTCATGAGTTCAAACTCATCAGCCGCTCCATAGAAAAAAGACGTGACAGTGTGTTTCCATAAAGATTACAGCCTTGGTAACTATGGGGGCAGTTCTACTCTGCCTTGTAGGATTGCTATGAGTTGGGACTGAGTCAACTGCAGTGGGTTTTGCTTTAGTATGTACTCAGAAGCCCTGATGGTGCAGTGGTTAAGTACCCATCTGCCAACCAAAATGCTGGTGATCCAAACCCAACCAGCAGCACAGCAGGAAAAAGACGTGACAACGTGCTTTGTAAAGATCCCAGCGTGGAGTTGGAATCAACTTATCAGCACACATCAACAGAACATATGAAGCACTGCCTCTGTATCCTTAACTCAGCAAAGTTATGAGATGGTAATAGTTTCCCCTCTGTTAAGGTGCAGAAACAAAGCCAGGAAGGTTAATTAGTCATCTTATGGCAAACTGCTCCTAAAAGGGATTGAAACTCAGCCCTGCTGGCCACGCACGTGCTAATGGCTGGACTGCAAAGGGAGCAGTGGTGAGGTGCTGAGAAGTTGACTTTGGAGTGTCCTAGGTTCAAATCCTGCCTCCACCATTGGTTTTATTCCTCATTTGTAAAATACGCATATTAATGGGGCCTGGCATGAATGGTTCATGTGTTCAGCTGCCGACCAAATGGTTGGCAGTTTGAGTCCACCCTCAGCGGGTCCTCAAAAGAAACAATCACTTTGAGGCATTCTACCTGCAAAAAGTCAGCCACTGAAAACTGTGGGGTGCAGTTCTACTGTGACACATACGAGGTCGCCATATGTGTCAGAATCGACTGGATGACAAGTGGTCGGACTGACGCTTTTTAGAAAGATGAAGTGAGTTACAACACACAGCTCTTCACACAGTGGCTGGCTCACAGCAAGCTCACAAATCACAGAACAAAATGAGAAACAAATAACAAAACTTTTTTTCCCCCTGAAACACGTGTTGCTTTCCATTTTCCGTCCTCAAGCATGTAACGATGTTTTGTTTTGCTCCTAGAATCTCTTTTGGTTTGGCATAGGACAGGCGACAGTGTTTTTACTGCCAGCTATAATCGTTGCTGTCAAGCTGGCCAAGTACTACCGTCAGATGGACTCAGAGGAGGTGTACGATGAGTAAGTAGCTGTGTGTCCACGGAGGCTGGGGCTGGTGTTCTCAGGGTGCTGCTTCTGCGGAGCTGGCCAGGAAGAGGGCTGACGGCTTTGCACTTGACTTGGCTCACCTACTGGCTCGTCCCTGAGCAGGGGTTTTGTTTGTACAGACTTTCTCATGCTTGTTTTAATTGCTTTTTTTTTTTTTT